TTTGTTTTTATTGCTGAAGTAAGAGTGTTGAACGAGAGCTCGTCTAACAGCCCTATTGTATATAATCTTGGTTTCAGTTCCATTAGAATTCCACTGGAGGTGATCAAGGTCGAGTGCAGAATGAATGGGCTTGTCGTTGGGGTTGTCGTAGCCTTTTTTCCTGCTTGTCGTTGAATCAATGTAGATTTTATTGTTGATTCCGCAAGTTCAATAGAGTGCCCCCGCATGGACAGAGACGTGTTACTGCAGCCAGTCCAGAAACCGGAAGTAACCAGACAGTGCCAATAGGCTTTATGCACAGCTGGACTACTTCCTGAACTTCAGCCAGCTCCTTTGTTTCCTGTCTGCCATTATTGGACCAACTGATTAATTCAGGTGTGCCTGATTATTGTTACTGAGGCCAATCAGTTTGTCCAATGATGGCAGACAGGAAACAAAGGAGCTGGCTGAAGTTCAGGAAGTAGTCCAGCTGTGCATAAAGCCAAAAGAGTAGAGAAAGCCCCAGTCAATGTTTTAAACAATCTTTCTAATTGTGTGTGATGTCATGGGTTAGTAGTAACTAGGTGACGGCATGGCGATAAACTTACCAAAAAAGGTGTGAGAATAGCTCATATAAATGTTAGGAGTTTAAGAAATAAAGTTCATGAGATATCTACTTTAATTAAAAGTGAAAATATCAATGTACTTGCTGTCTCTGAGACACATTTAGATCAATCCATAACAGACATGGGGGTAGCTATCCCAGGGTATAACATTTTTAGAAATGACAGGAATACTTTTGGGGGAGGTGTTGCAATATATATACAAAGCCAAATTCCTTCTAAGGTTAGATCGGACTTCATGGTTTCTAGTATTGAAGCGCTGTGGTTGGAGGTTCATCTTGCTTATTGTAAACCGATTTTAGTTGGCTGTGTCTATAGACCCCCAAATGCTAATGTGCAGAATGTAGATGAATTATGTTCTGTTCTAATTAAGGTAACGGATACTGGTAAAGAAACATTTGTTCTAGGTGATTTCAATATAGATTGGCAGTCAAATTCATGTCCACTGAGGAAAAAGTTATACAGTACTGCGCTCACATGTAATCTATCTCAGATGGTAAAAAAGTCAACTAGAGTATACTGTAGTTATGATGGGCAAACATCCGCAACCTGTATTGATCACATATTTACAAATAATTGTGAAATGTGCTCTAAAGCAGTATCTGTTCCTGTAGGGTTCAGTGATCATAATTTAGTGGCTATTGTTAGAAAAACTCAAACACCCAAAGCTGGACCTAAAGTACTTTATAAGAGGTCGTATAGAACATTTTGTGAGAGGGATTTTGTTAGAGATATTAAGAGTGTTGACTGGAATCAAGTACTAGCTTTAAACAAGGTTGAAAAAGCCATCGAGTTATTCACAAAATTGTTTCTTTTTGTGGCTGATCAGCATGCCCCATTAAGAAAATTCACAGTAAGATCAAACAAAGCATCATGGATTGATGAAGAATTAAGGGAGTGGATGCGTAAAAGAGATGAGATGAAAAGAGCTGCAATTGGTTCCAAGGGTACTGAAAAGTGGCAAAAGTATTGTGAAATGAGAAATAAGGTTACTAAGTTAAATAGGAAAAAGAAAAAAATGTATTATCAAGATAAAATTCAGGAGAGGAAAAATGATGGTAACAAACTTTGGAAAACCTTAAATGAAATAATGGGTAGGGGCAGGATCAACAATCCTTCCTTCATTGAAGTGAATGGAGCGTTCTTGACAAAAGCAAAGGACATCGCTAATCATTTCAGTAGTCATTTTGCAGACAAAGTTGATAAATTAAGAAATGAAATGCGCTCCCCGAGTGGGAGTTGTATATCATCTCAAATAATAATAAACTCTATCATGAATAATAAATCATGCTCTTTTGAGTTCCAACCTATAGAAGTTGACAGGGTGGAAAAGCTACTTGACAACCTAAATAATCATAAACCAGCTGGGATGGATACTTTAGATGGGAGATTGATTAGGGTTGTTTCAAGTATTATATCATTGCCAATATGTCATATGTTTAACTTGAGTTTAAAGGAGGGGTTATTCCCTCAGGTTTGGAAATCTGCTAGGGTTTTACCTCTTCAGAAAAATAAACGGGAAAGTTTCTCAGCTGCAAATAGCAGACCCATCAGTATTCTTCCAGTTTTAAGTAAGTTACTTGAAAAAGTTGTGTTTGAGCAGATACTACATTATTTTGTATGACTTAAATTCTCATTGTCAGCATGCATATAAGGCTGATCATTCTACGTGCACAGCTCTGACAGACATGGCAGATAAATGGTTGACTTGTATTGATAACAAGATGATGGTTGGAACTGTGTTACTTGACTTTAGCGCTGCATTTGATATTGTAGACCATGGGTTATTATTAAATAAGCTTGCTACTTATGGGTTTAGTCCATTAGCCATAAATTGGATGAATAGCTATTTATTAAATAGGAAACAGTATGTATTTTTTAATGGTAGTTTTTCCTTCCCTAAAACTTTACAGTGTAGAGTGCCACAGGGGAGTTGTCTTGGGCCGTTACTCTTCTCTATATTTATTAATGATTTGCCATATGTTTTGAATAAGTGCTCTGCGACTTTATTTGCGGATGATACAACTGTTCATTTTGCATCAGCTAGTATAAGCGAACTAAGAAACACACTTCAATCAGAATTACAACTTGTAGTGAACTGGATTTGTGAAAACAGACTTGTTTTAAATGTAACTAAAACCAAAAGTATCTTGTTCAGGTCTAGATATGTCAGTAAGGGTGATAATCAGCTCTGTCTATCACTCACAGACTCGAACATTGAACAAGTTGAAGAGGTAAATTTGCTTGGTGTTACATTGGATGGACAGTTAACTTGGGAGAAACATATTGACAATATTGTTAAGAAAATGGGTAATGGAATATCTGGGATTAGAAGGTGTTCCCCTTTTCTTACCCCTGCCACTAGAGTGCTGGTGACACAGGCATTGGTTTTATCCCACCTTGATTACTGTTCACCTGTCTGGTCAGGTGTGGCTAAAAAATATCTGTTTAAGCTACAAATAGCTCAAAATAAAGCTGCAAGACTCGCACTGGCCTGTCCATGGGGTGTGAGTACGGACGGTATGCATACCAGTCTCTCTTGGCTTAGAGTGGAGGAGAGGTTGTCATGCAACCTTATGATTTTTTTTTTAGGAATATCTGTTATAAGAAACAACCTACTTGTCTGTACTCAAAAATAAAGTATGTGAGAAACCAACATAGTCATAGTACTCGACATTCTACAAAGGGTTGTCTAGCTTTGAAAAAACCCAGGACTGATGCTGTGTGCAGATCTGTAATGTATAGAGCCATTAAAATGTGGAATAATTTACCAATTTATATTGTTGAAACACCTAGTAAGGCTGGCTTTAAAAGCCTACTAAAAAAATACTTGAATAATAACACAAACATTGATGAGCTTAGATAAATGGTTTGATGTATAATTGTGTTTTGTGTGTTATGATGCTGTTTTGGTGGTAGCTTGCGTTATTATGTATACACGATACTCTGCATAAGTATTGTAGGTATCGGTTTTAGATTTATGTGTAACTTGTATGTTAAATGTTGGTTGGATTATGTATGTTTTTACGTATTTATGTTTTTATGTATTTTATGTATGTTTTTGTATGTGGACCCCAGGAAGAGTAGCTGCAACATTAGTGGCAGCTAATGGGGATCCAAATAAATAAACTAAACTAAATTCTCAATTAGAAATTCTCTGGTTGAACTCATCTCCTACACCCTATTCTTCTGTGATCCAGAATAGCAGCACAGCTAAAAGGTTAGTTTGAGCTGCGCCCTCTACTGTACAGTTGTGAATTTGTATTTCCTTCAGACTGAGGTATTCATTTCACTTTGAAATAGACCTTTACATTTGCACAAAACAAAAAACAAGGAAACCCAGCCCAGGTGAGGAAAGGTAACACAAAAGTAACATAACACCGAACTAACGCAATTATTTACTTTTTTTGTAGTTACGCAATTGTAACACATTACTTTTAAAAGTTACTTTCCACAACACTCTGAGTGAATGATACTAAAAAGATGAAAGTGTAATAAAAGACAAAAAACAGCAATTGCATATCCACTATGACACTTAGGACCCTATCTTGCACCCAGTGCAATTGACTTTGTTCACCAACGCATGTATCATTCCTATTTGCACCCGACGCACAGCAGACTTTTCCCTCCACAGGCGCACGTCGGTAAATTAGGGAATGAATTTGCGCTCCCGGGGCGGTTCAGCAAAAAGAGTAGGCGGCGTGTTCCGGCACAAATGTTCCCTGGTGCTATTTTGCAGTTTCAGAAAACAATTCCGCATTGCGTTTCAAATATCAAATTGCGTTTCGCATTTGATACTTGCGTTTCAGATCGTTAAAATAGGGCCCTTGATCTTAAGTCAATGAAAATGCTAGAATTAATTTCATGAATGGGCCTTATTTCATGAGCTGTTCTCTGGGATCTCTCCCATCTTCCATTTTGTGTACCAGCATCATCATACATTGAAAACAATCGCAATATATTAATCTAATAATATCTCAGTGAGTATTCGGGTAAACAGTCTGTGTTTAAGTGAAAGCAAACAGTTGGTAGAAAATCAGATGTGTTTCAGTATATTAGATTTGTGCATTCAGCCTTAAAGTGACAGCAGTCTAATATCCCTGTTGCTGTCTCTGTCATTAATGTTAATCAAAAACAAAAGACAAAGAGACTTAGAAAGTGACTTTGAAAACCCTTGGTCTAAACTTTTAGACAGATGGCTGCACCTTTTATCATCATAAAATATTTTATCATAATATTGACTACTTTTTTATAATGGTGGAGATGTTACATCGACTTGTATTGTTTTTTTATTAAGCTAATAATATTTATTAATTTTTAGACATTATATTGTGTTTAAACAGTTTTCAATCTGAACACACACACACACACACACGAGCATTTAAAGTGATCTCTTACTGAGTGGAGGAAGTCCATCCAAGCTACCTCTACTTCTTAATGTAAAATCTAAAATTGAAAACAGGTAAAATAATCAGAGGAGGAAATCTCTAAATTCGAAATAATATCTTACTACTACTGGCCTTTAATACAATATATGTTATACATTTTTTCCACTATGTGATGTAAGAAAATGTCTTCACATCTCTCACCTTCCATTAACTCTGTCTCTGTTGTGCTATCTTCTCCCACTAAAGAGAAAAATATGTGATTTAGGATGTAAATGCCTTGCAAAATTATAACACAAATTAAATTAATGATTAATTGAGTTACAGTAATATTAGAGGATTATCTAATAATTTAACCTAAAAAATTCAGATGGCAATCAAGCACAAACATACACATTGTTTTTTTTTTTAAATCATGGTGGAGAATTTACTGTAGGGGTAAAATCTCTGCGTGGCAGGGGGAGCTGCCACTCGACCAGCCACGTAATTATGCGCCTGCCACTGCGTTATATGCGCCTGCCACTCGACCAGTCACAGATATATGGGCCTGCCACTCGACCAGTCACAGATATATGCGCCGGCCACTCGAACTTACACAATATGTAAGATAGGTTTTCAAACCAAATGCAGCGCATAACCCCTGAAGCCAGCGGGAGACAGAACGGTATGCACTATAGGTCAATATTCACCATTAACCATTATGATGCAGCGCCTGAAAATAGGCCACCTTCCGTCAACACAACGGAACTATTTTCAGGCGCTGCGTCATATCATTATGCCTGCTGCTCTCATGGTACGGCAGTGAAGTTTCTTGATTATTACGCAGGAATGAGAGTATAGTTCCTAGCCATATCAGCCTAGAAAATCACAACTTTACATTTTCCGTCGGTCTTAGTGCACGATGTAACTACAGAAGAGTCAAGTATTAAATAGGAAAAATATCGAAACTCTTTGGTCATTTTTTTTTAGAAATGCTAATGGTCTTGTCCACTCCAATGATGTATGCTAAGCTATGCTAAAAGTGGTACCGCCAGAACCGGAGATCGGCTGAATGGATTCAAAAACGGTAAAACTCAACAGTTTAACTCTGGGGGAGTTGTAAAATTAGCCTATTTCCAAAAAAAGTGGAGTATCCCTTTAATAGAGCCACGCGAGCGCACTACGATACGCATAAAAAGAGCGAATAAAATATAAGATCAGATGATAAATAGGTAGATAAGATCTGTATTGCACTGTATGCATGTTCTCGTGTACCATTAGGAGTGTCTGATAGGTGTATACAGAGAGAGATCGTTTGGCAGGTGTGACGCTTTAATAGTCCAGGCGGGAGCCAAGAGACGCGCTCTCTATGGGCAAAAAGAGCGAATAAAAAAGAGATACAATTAGACATAAATAAGATAAGTATTGCACTGCCTGTGGGTTCGTCTGGTATATTAAAACAGTGAGAGATTTTAAGGCAGGCGCATAAGTCTATGTCACGAGACTGGTGCTCATTTAAAAAAAAGCGAGTAGCCTACAGTAGTTGTGAGGGAGGCGAAAAGCGTTTGGTTAATGGTGAATATTGACCTATAGTGCATACCGTTCTGTCTCCCGCTGGCTTCAGGGGTTATGCGCTGCATTTGGTTTGAAAACCTATCTTACATATTGTGTAAGTTCGAGTGGCCGGCGCATATATTTGTGACTGGTCGAGTGGCAGGCCCATATATCTGTGACTGGTCGAGTGGCAGGCCCATATATCTGTGACTGGTCGAGTGGCAGGCGCATATAACGCAGTGGCAGGCGCATAATTCCGTGGCTGGTCGAGTGGCAGCTCCCCCTGCCACGCAGAGATTTTACCCCCTCTCAGAATTTACATCAACTTGTGGGACTGTGGAAACCAGGCAGCCTCTCCCCACAATTATGTAAAACCTGAACACACACACACACACACAAAAGGAGCATTTAAAGTGATCTCTTACTGAGTGGAGGAAGTCCATCCAAGCTACCTCTACTTCTTAATGTAAAATCTAAAATTGAAAACAGGTAAAATAATCAGAGGAGAAAATCTCTAAATTCGAAATAATATCTTACTACTACTGGCCTTTAATACAATATATGTTATACATTTTTTCCACTATGTGATGTAAGAAAATGTCTTCACATCTCTCACCTTCCATTAACTCTGTCTCTGTTGTGCTATCGTCTCCCACTAAAGAGAAAAATATGTGATTTAGGATGTAAATGCCTTGCAAAATTACAACACAAATTAAATTAATGATTAATTGACAGTTACAGTAATATTAGAGGATTATCTAATAATTTAACCTAAAAAATTCAGATGGCAATCAAGCACAAACATACACATAGTTTTTTTTTTAAATCATGGTGGAGAATTTACATCAACTTGTGGGACTGTGGAAACCAGGCAGCCTCTCCCCACAATTATGTAAAACCTGAACATACACACACACACACACACACACAAAATGAGCATTTAAAGTGATCTCTTACTGAGTGGAGGAAGTCCATCCAAGCTACCTCTACTTCTAAATGTAAAATCTAAAATTGAAAACAGGTAAAATAATCAGAGGAGAAAATCTCTAAATTCGAAATAATATCTTACTACTACTGGCCTTTAATACAATATATGTTATACATTTTTTCCACTATGTGATGTAAGAAAATGTCTTCACATCTCTCACCTTCCATTATCTCTGTCTCTGTTGTGTTGTATGGTGAAAAGTAATCTTCTAAAACAGAAAAATATGTGATTTAGCATGTAAAACCTGAACATGCATGCAAACACACACACACACTCCTTAATGTACGACCTAAAATTGAAAACGGGTAAACTGAATTAATTAGAGGAAGTCTCTAAATTTGTTATTTAGTTTTAGACATTTTAGACTATCTTGGTAATAATCTAGAGGAAGCTTTCAAATTACATTTTTGCTTCTCGCTGTCTGTTTGAAGGTTAGGGTACCTCTTATGGTGTCATTTTATTACTCAAATTTACAACTGTAAATGGTAAAAACTGAAAATTAACTGAAGGTTGATAACCACCGCAGAGCTAGATCTATCTATGATAAGCCTAGACAGCCTAAACATGTGAAAGCCGGAAAAAAAAACATAATATGAAATATTGTGTTATTTATGGTCTCTCAGACTTACCAACAGATGGCTTTTTCTTTCTCTTTTCATCCTTGTCATCCTTTTTTAGTGCTTCTTGGAGCAGTTTTAGTGTTTTCTCTGGAAGGTCTGTTTTTTGTTGCAGAATATCATCTTGTAATTTTCTTATCATGTCCTGAAGAACCTCTAATGTACCATCACTCTTCCGGAGTTCTAAAATGTCAATGTCAAGCTCATTATCACTTCATTGCAAGCATAATTGAAGGAATGTTATGTAACATTCACCTTTTAGGTGTGCTATGTGAAAACTGGGTATGACATATGAGAGACATGAAAGTAGCACAGATGATGGTGCTATACATTTGCCATGGGCAGCACTCAAATACAGAAACACAAAATATTAAATATTAAAATATGTGTTTCTTAACGTAGTGTGATTGCATAGAGCTACGTCACACGTAGGCTCACTGTATTGGTCGACGCTGGTCATGTGTGTGATGCATGTGACGTACAACAACAGAAGCTTACGCTATTACACTAGTGAACTCACTCGAGGCCCACAGAGAAGGAAATGAATAGTTGAATAAAGTCGTTATTTTTGTTTGTTTTTTGCGCACAGAAAGTATTCTCGTCGCTTGATAAACTTAAGATTGAGCCACTGTAGTCACTCTGACTATTTTAACGATGTCTTTAATAACTTTTGGGCCGGCCAGTTTCGATCCCTTAAGAAGCCTATGGAGGAGTGACCCAGCTCAAGATTTAATAAAAATATCTTAATTTGTGTTCCGAAGATGAACGAAAGTCTTACGGGGTTGAACAACATGAGGGAGAGTAATTACTGATTACTTCATTTTTGGGTGAACTATCCCTTTAAGGGGCATTTGCTGCATATGTGTCACCTTGCTTAGCCTAGTTATCATTTGCTCATGGAAACATGGGTGAATAAAGATTTGTTTATTATTTATATGCTCAAATATGTAGCAGTCTCAAAACAAATATGTCATCATGCAGAAACTGTCCGAAACTGTTTTTTCTACGAATGAACAAAGAAATAAACTGTATGTAGTGATGAAGTGAATGTAGAGATGTAGGAGCTGCCGTTTTAATAATATCTTACCTCTCACTTGTAGGTGAACTGTTCCAGTCTGCATACATCCATAATGATAGACGTTGCATCTGTAGCCTCCTGAATCTGAAGGTTGAACATTTCTCAAAGTCAGAGAAAAATTTCCTCTCTCCAGCTCCTGGATGGACATACTCACTCTGTTCACATAGTCACTGTCTGTTGTCTCCAGTCCATTCATATACTGATAAATGCGATCTGTCCCTCTATACCAGCTGATGTTCATGGACACAACACTGGTTTCAGGTGAGAGATGAACAGGTAAGATGACGTCTGCTCCAGGGTCAGCAGACACAGTGGCACTAGGAATCACAAGACTAAAGTCTTCAGCTGGACAGAAAGAACAATTTATTGTCAATGACATGAAGTCACTACCATTTAATGTGTGCCTGTTACAGTGTAATTATACATTTTAGTACTGAATAATATTAATTAACTACATGTACGTACTATAGACAGTGTTAGGGTAGGAATAGAGTTTGATTTAGGGTTAGTTGCATGTACTTATGCCTAATTTATAGTTAAGCTATTACTAGTAAATACATGTAACGTGTAACAAGGACATTAAAATAAAGTGTTACCCAATTTTATTGAATTTTTAATTAAAAGTTGAACTACTGTAGATTGAAACTTGGTGTCAAAAGAAAACAAATCAATCAAGTATGACACAATTTTGCTTTTATATTTACACATAGTATAACCGACACTTTTTCCAAAGCAACTTACAGTGCAAAAATGCAATATCTTAACCAGTAAATCTGCATAATACTTACAGTGGATTAAAAGAAAAATATATTCTTTCATCGTTTGCCGTTCATGGATGACTTCACAAATATAGAGGCCCCTCTGTGATCTCCTGACATCTCTGAGAATTAAAGACACATTTCCATTGTGTAGATCCTGCAATGAGAGACTCACTCGACCCTCAAAGTCTTCGCTCACTGTCATCTGCCCGTCCTTATAATGGCAGACCAGATCAGCCCTATTCTGCCACTTAATTTCCATTGAAGCAGCGCTGATGGCTGGCTTAAGATGACATGACAGAACAACATCATCTCCAAAATTACTAAATACAATGTCAGATGGACAAACAAGAGTCAAATCTAAAGAAGAGAAAGAAACAAATTAAACATTATTCATATGTAATTTCTGTACTAGTGTTTAAAGTACAGTGGATGTGACAGTCAAAACAGTATTTTTTTTACTTGCCATGCAAAGTTTCTGACATTTTGGTAGTTTCAGCCATTTTTAATATTTATTTGAGATGAAAATCCACTGTAAGCCTAGAAAATAAACAGACAATATGAATATATACTTGCATTTTATTTTGATGTTTGCATATAAAAAAAGTTAAAATTAGAATTTATATTAGAAAATGTTAGACAAAACAAACAAAAGAGCTTTTTTATGAATTAGAACAATCCATTAATTTAAAGTTTGAAAACTAAGTGGATTACCACAACATCAGTCCCTCCAGGGAGTATCTCTTCTGTTGTGGCAATCTACATATTACAAATATTAATATTCTTTATTATTCTAATGAATTAAATCCCAGAAAAGAGTTCGGCTGTGAAATAATGCTTATTATTCACCTTTTACATCCACCTTCTCTTTCTGTTCTTACAGTCTTGCATCCAACCGAAGGTAACTGAAAAACTGAAAGTAACTGAAGTTATAGCATAATATTACATAGCATACTACACAAAAGCATGTCAAAGTGATATGTAAAAATATATATAATTAATGTTGTACTGTATTATAAAATTTATTGTGCATTACATGCTTACCTTTTAAATTACTAAGTTAACAAAAAATCCGTAATACTAAGAAATTGATGTTACTGACCCATCCGGGTAGAACCATAGACCGTGGGTAGAACAGATACTAACAAGAATACTAACAATACTAATAAACCCTTAAAGATATATATAGGTTAATAATCGAGGTATTTAAAAAAGTTTTACTTTCACAAGCTTATATCCTAGCCTACCAGCAGACACATAGGCCTAACTCAATTGCACTGACGCATCGTCCTTTCGAAAGAAAGAAAGAAAGAAAGAAAGAAAGAAAGAAAGAAAGAAAGAAAGAAAGAGAAAAGAAAAGAAAGAAAGAAATACCTTTATTCTGTTTGTTTCACAACTGTTTTATCAAGTTAATTCCGTGCTGTTTCTGAAAATGTAGTTACTTTCACTTTCACTAGGCAACTGGTTATTTACACTGCACTCGGCTCCGAAGAGGGTTTGTTCCGTTGTGGTGAAGAGAAGAGTCCAAACTTAGGAAGGAACCCATTAGTATGCCTGATCTAAAGCTGTTCTCGCGATTCTTAATGTAATCAATCAAACTTTAAGCTTGTTGAGATGCGTCTTGCCTCATCTGAAATGGAGGCGAGAGTAGGGGTCGCAATGAGGGGAGGAGTGAAAAAAAGTCTCGCAGTGGATGAGATCACAGACGAATATCGCGGGATTCACGCTCGTGCGTACACAGCATGGTGCCATAGACAGTGCATGGTGCACAGCTGGGTGCAATCATAGTTAGTGATGGCCAAATGAAGCGTTTCGAAGCATTATTGCTTTCTGATACAATTGTGTCGAAAATGGTTCATTACTCGAAGCTTCATTCAGAGAGAAATTGCAGCACCATCTCCTGGTGAAGTAAATGTAATGCAACAAAGCTGACAACCATAAAATGCAAGTAGGCTTATATGTTAACGCCCCGTTTATTACGTGTTTACCGAGGCGATCAAAGCTGAAACAGTGTTAGTGCTGTGAAACTCATTTATGTAGGTGAAGTTTACACACACTGATGAATTTCATGTGTTCACCTTGATAATAAAACATTAAGCATAATGTGTGTGTGTAATTATTTCTTTAGACAAAGACAGAAGATCAGACCAGCTTAAAAAAAGTTGGAAACCATCACATAAATTCTAATGGTTTCTATTAAAATGATAATAGAATAAAATATAAAAGAATAAATAAAAGAATAAAATAAAAGAATTTCTTTTTTGTAGTGTGTTTGGGACATATTCCATTAGGATTTAATGCCCCTACCAATATAACCCAACACATATCAGTAGAGACCCACAGAGATCACTATAATTCCCATTACAACCAATAAAATTCCTATGAAAACCAATAAAATTCCATAATGTAAACCATTAAATCCAATAGAATTTCTGTAATGTTTTCTATAGTTTTTTTTTTTTTTTTTAGCTGGGCAGCATCATGTGTGAAAGCTTTATCTTGTTTAGCTGTAGGAAGCAGAACTCTATAACTTAACTGGTGGGACTGATATTTTTGTATGTTGAAAAGGAGGTGCTTGTGTAACTGGTTGAACTTGTATAATGTAGCAGAGGGTTTTTGAAGTTTCTTTCTTTGATGCATGTTTTTATGTAACAATGTTCATCTGTTCTCTAATTAATAATAAAAAATAAAATCCACTCTCCTCAACAATAACGCCAATCCAAACACTGACTACTACAACCCACGGTGTTGCCATGGTTTGGCTTCACTTTTATAAGAAATACAGCCGCCAGGTTTCAAACCTGTCAACACTGGATCGGGCTGTCAAAGCAGTCAGGTGGTTCACTAGTCACTACAGGAGTAAGCAGTAGGCTTGTTCGACTTCATGCAGCTCTGCGCAGACCGATCGCCGGCTGACTTGAAGCAGTGCATGCCGGTTAGAAATGTTGTCCGACTTGATACAGCGCCGACGCCACGTGACTGTGACGTATGCCATCAAAATACCGCGAGGGCGATTCGAGAGCAGCCGGAGAACTCAGCCAGCGCAGCTTCTGAAGAGCGGCTGCTCGGGGCTGCACGAGCTCTGATGACGACACAGCTGCTCCACGATTGGCCGGATTCACCGCATGACAACGATCACGTGCGTTTCGTGTTTATTCTCACACCTTTAGTTCCACTAAAGCTCACAAATCAGTTTTTTATAACAGTAAACACTCTTTTCATGTAGTCGTGATGTTAGGCTATATTGTGTTATGTTTATCAAAATAAAAGTGATTAAAAAACGTCGACTGCACTTCATTGATAGTGGCTATTTTGAACTTTATTCTTGTTCAAACAGATGCAGTATGAAGCAGTACATAAAGTATTGAATGAAAATGTGTCTGAAACATCTGTGCATTTGGCAAATATTGAATTTATTTCACTTCAGCTGTGGTAAAGTATACAAACACCACGTGAGCGGTCACTACGGGAACCAGAAAGTGTCCGACTTCACGTCTCCGTTTGCAGCTCCTCCCCGCCTGCACGCGGCTACTCTCGCCGATCGCTTACATCCAGCCGCAGCCGATGTCGAACACACCTACTGTGTTTGCTTCAGACGTCATTTTCACGTGACTAGTGACGTAATGATACAAGCTCCGAAGCAGTGGTTCATTGCAAGGCCCGATCGAGTTTGAAGCAAGCTTCGGAGCGTTGGTGTCAGACCTAACATCACTATTTGTGACTGCCATTGTATTTCTGTGAATGGCATTTTACACATTTGTGACTGCTTGTCTGCAGCTTCAGATTCAGAATACAGGTTTGTGACTATTGTCTGCGAGTGCAAATCTCAACATTCAACTTCAGATTTTTATTTTACAGGTTTTCACATTGGAGCTGTGAGTGTAAATGTTCACATACAAGTACGAATATTTATTGTACAAGTTCTCAAATTCACATCTACGTGCTCTCGAGTTTAGCTACTGATTTACCTTCATAAAAACACCACATAGACATATAAACAACATTAAAATCTTGATTTTTTACCACAGAGGGACTTTAACAGAATTTAAATGAGCAACTGTGATGAGAATCATTTGATGTGATTCATACGTCAGATGGAGCTGCCTTACACAGTTTGCTGTTCCTCTGTGAGAGTTCATTATAAACGCCCATGGAGACTCGAGTGTTTATAGAAACACACCTCTGACAGCTGCAGAACATGGACTCGACGAGTAAACAGAGCTCAATTAACGAACTTAAGGAGCAAATTCGCTCTTTGACTGACGAAACTGTAAGTTATTTTTTTTTGTCATATGAAGGAATTAATGCTTAAGTAATTGGGTTGTAATAGTATAGCGCAGTGTATTTAATCAGTGGTCAGTCACCATTCAAAAGTGTTTATTTAATCTTAATACTCTTATTAAGCAAGGGCACATTGGTCAAAAGTGACAGTAAAGACATTTTTTATGTTAAAAAATATTTCTATTTCAAATAAATGCTGTTAGTCTTTCAATATTGATAACAATAAGAAATGTTTCTTCAGCAGCAAAATGAAGATCACGTGACTGAAGACGGGAGTGCTAAAAATTCAGCTTGGCATCACAGGAATAAATTACATTTGAAAATATATTCAAATAGGAAAAAAAATTTAATTGAAATAATATTTCACAATATTACTGTTTTTACTGCCTTTTTGA